TTTTTTTTTTTCTACATTGCCTGATAAACATCTGTCGCTTCTAATACGTTCATTTACAATTTAATTTTTTTTTTTTTTTTTTTTTTTTCATTATTTACTCAGCCAGGAATTCGATCTTTCTTTGTTTTTGTTTGTGCCGGGTAATGAAATATAACTAAAGCTGATTGTGCCTCGTGAGAACCTAGACCCGTACTTGTTGCAATATCGATCCAGAGAACCTAGAGGATTCACGATGGTCGGGTGAGTATAGTAATCAATTCAATTTTTTTCAAACTGGCGCGCCAAAGTGTTTGCAAGCTTGATGAAAAATCAAAAACAGTTGAGACTTCAAGCTATTATAAGCTTTATGGAGAGAAAAGCAAGTTTTGTTTGACACTGTTTTAAAGCGTGCAATTAATGAATAAGTGAGAAAATGAAAACTTTTCTTCGCTGATTTTCTTCAAATTGGGGGAAATCTCTAAAGAATTTTTTTTCTTAGTTCTATCGATTTTATTGTAATATCGATTACATTAGAATTCAATATTCACAGACATCGATTATGAACATCGCAATATAATACATAATTATTTTATTCCAGTTTTTACCTGAACAAAAGATAAAAAAAATTTCTTTTTCTAATTCTTATCGTCTAGTAAATAAAAAAAACTGATTTAATAAAATATCTACAATCTTATTTCTTTGACGTCTTTGACGATCGAGTTAGATGTAATTCTTGCGTTCGCCGCATTGAATCGGTCGGTATTTCAGAACGCGGGACACAGTGTCCAATGTAACGACGCGTCTATACCATCATTAGTCAATGATTTTATCGAGAGCAGAAGGCACTAAAGACTTTGTATTTGACCATTGATTGGACTTTGTCTCCGAAATACGAATCGGCTCGTTTCATGACGTTTGACGTGCTCATAAGTGGAATGTTGATCCATGTCCGATATAAGAAACAAATATATAAGTACACGCAACGGCCATTCGCAAGCAGTGACTTTACACAATTGGCACGTGGATTTCTCGTTTACCTGCAGTTTTTGCGAAAACCATCGTTTTTCTGAAATTGTTTCTTCTCTGTCAGTGTCAACACGTCGTTTGATAAGTAAAGGTGATTTCTCGATCAATCGTAGTAACGTGAAAGCTATAAATATTAAATTACTAATGAAATGTTCTCCGGGATAAATGTTGCTAGAGATATAGCTACTACCTACTTATCGACAGTGATAATTAAGTCAAAATTCATAGAATTGTTATTGAAGTCGTAAAAAACATTCAATCGATGATTTTGCCAAATGATTTTATTGTTTCAAATCGAATTGAAATTACGAAATGAAATTGAGAAAATTATAATCGATCGTTTTGGTAATATGTATAGCAATCGATTGTGCCGCTTAATCGATTGATTCAATTAATCTTTAAAATCTAGAATCAAACTGCTTATGTAAATATCTCTTATGTGAAACAACTAACTTCTATCTAGTTTTCAAATTGTTTACAGAGTAATTACTGATATTATAACATGACAAAAAATTCAATGAAAAACACTTCAGTGCAATTCAAGCGAGTTTCATTCCAATAAACTTTCGAGATCAAATTATTTGGAAAGATGGGTGGCGGCGAATGCAGTAGGAGCATTTTCAGTTATGAAACGCTAGTTCACGCAATATCAGGTGCTACCGTGAGTACACGCAACTTAAAGAACGAGTTATTACATATTTAATGAAATGTAAATTAATGTTTGACAATGGTACTCTTCGCAGGGTGGCGTCATTGCTATGGCAACGTTCTTCCCTTTAGACACAGTACGGAGCAGATTACAATGTAAGTGTATTAAAAAGTTAAAAAGTCTTCGACCTACTTGCTCTGATAAGCAAATAAAAAAGTGCTTCATAAAGATTGCAACGGTGTACGCTAGCTGGAATGTATTTTACAGAATGAATTTAAAAACGATAGATTAGAATCCATACAAGTGTTTGCGACATTAAAAATTAGATACAAAATACACTAAGTAAATTTCGTATATTTACATATAATTGTTATTATATGTAATGTGTTATATCTTGTATTATATAATATAATGTTACGCAAATTGCATGTTTACGTATGATATAATTATATGTTTCAAAATATTTAAAATCATATTACATACATAACTTTCCATATATTTGCATACAATTTACATACAATTATGAAATTTATTTATTTTGCTCCTTGTTGTAGTGGAAGAAGACCGAGAATCGAAAAGCACGCTCGCAACAATGCGCGACCTTATTACGAAGGAAGGGCCGTAAGTTTCTTTCGTTTTGCAAGTCGCAATTGAAATAACAATTTCGTCATATTTACAATAAAATCTACATTCTAGAGCCACTTTGTACAGAGGAATGGTACCTGTTCTTCAGAGTCTGTGTGCCAGCAATTTCGTTTACTTCTACACGTTTCATGGCTTAAAGATGCTCAAAACAAATAAAAATCAATCAGCTGGAAATGATCTGCTGGTTGCGTCGATAGCAGGTATTGTATTTAATGAAACATTGCCTAAAAATTTTTTATTTAAAAGTAATTGTTTCCAGGCGTGATTAATGTCTTGACAACGACACCACTGTGGGTAGTAAATACCAGATTAAAAATGAAAGGTGTTGGCCACGTTCAGGAAAGGAATAACAATGATTACAATACATTATACGGTACGTTCTTTTCTGCCATGTCAGAATGAATAAGTAAATATTGAACGAACATGTAGAGAACTTCGTATCATGTGTACATTCAACTTCTAATATATGTTTAAATTCAATTCTAAATATTGAGCAATCAATCGAATATTGCAAATGTTAGAAATTCAATTTCAATTGTTGATTCTGTTGCACGTTATTTAGATGGTCTTATATACATATGGAAATTCGAAGGTCTAAAGAAGCTTTGGGCGGGTACTTTGCCAAGTTTGATGCTAGTTATGAATCCAGCCATTCAATTTATGACTTACGAGACTATTAAGAGAAGAGTTCTCGCGTCATTGAATGGTTTGCAACCACCTGCATGGATGTTCTTTGTTATTGGTGCCGTAGCCAAAGCGGTAGCAACCGTATTAACTTATCCATTGCAATTAGTTCAAACGAAACTGAGAGTATGTATTAATTAACATTATTTTATTTTTGATTTTTTATAAAAATCGTATATGTATTATATGATTTTAACTTTTAGCATGGTCATAACTATTCAAACTTGCCACCAAATGCTGGGAGTTTAGAAATTCTGTTTTACATACTAAAGTAAGTAGCGTTTTTACAAAATGCCACAATTATAGTTGTATCCAATGCGAATTCCTATTTTCAGAAAACAAGGACTATCAGGACTGTACAAAGGGATGGAAGCAAAACTATTGCAAACAATTCTTACAGCGGCGTTAATGTTTTTAGCTTACGAAAAAATTTCAACGCTCGTTTTCCGTATTCTTTTGTATAAACCAATGTTAAGATAATGTGTATAAAACAATAAGTTAGCCAAGGATGTCAGTCCTATTGCAAAGTCATCTTTTATTGTAATAGAATAATGTTATAAAATATGTGTAACTTACATTGTAAAGAGAAATATTAAGAATACATGTTTATTTAATATGATCTGCATAGCAAATAAAAATGAAAAGGAAAGAAATATTTATTCATTTGCAATTGCGACCTGCAAGTTAGTATTGAAACGTGCAAATCATGCAAAATTCTTTTGTTTAACCACAAGCGCCAAACCATCTGACAGAAAAGTATCTATCACGTTTCTATGTATTTTTTTGGAAAATGTGAACTCAACTACTGGGAATACTGGCGAATCTCAAGAAAACGCACTTTCGCTTTCAGTCGCATTTTCGTCATCGTCAATCTAGTCACTCCACGCGCAAGATAGAATCGAAATGGGGCGATAAACAGGCTAGGCGTGCAAATCTTATCGATCAGAAGAGTTTATCGGTGAAGAAGGTCGAACGAAAATCCACAAAGGCAATTCTAACATTCTGGAATAAACTGAAGCTTCGTAAAGTCAAAGGGAAAAAGCTAGATCCTATTGCAAACGAGTCATCAGCTTCCGCGTAAGTCTCGAATTATTGAAACATTTAATAATTTATTTTTCAAATAATTTGTAGCAATATTTTTTTGTAACTTTAATATAATAGTATAATT